TGCACCCTTCCCTTTCCAAACTGGACTGTTCTTTTTCTCTTTAATGGGCGGAGATTGGTATGGCTGTCGTCCAAATGACACTTCGATGGGACAGCTCACACCTACCTCCACTCCCGGCGGAGACGGGCGCAACGTGAGATCGTGGCTGCCCGTTGCTGATGCGACCAGTGTCAGACCGGTCATTCTTGTCCACCACGCGTCCGTTTAACAACGTGCATGTTTGCCCTTCTTCGCGTAACACCTTGCCTGTAATGGTTAGGATGAAGCCTGGTATAAATCTAACCGGGGCTAACGTGCCATCTCTAAGAGATAACACGCTAGCTCCGGCTTGAGACGAGTTGCCTTGAGGCTTTCGTCTTGACGGGATGGGGCGAGGCGTGCGTCAGACCGCCAGTCGCCACCTAACCCTTGATTTGACCGGTCTGTGACTGGTCACAGACCGGATAAAAGAGCGTGCTGTACTGCGTTGCACGCAGCGTGACACGCTTGACCAGACTACAATAAATGCTGTTAGGTGAGCACAGCTGTGCTCACTTATCCCATATATGTGGCGCAGACTTCTTTAAGGGGTCGGGGTGCCCCGGCCCTCGGGGCCGGGGCAAGCGCAACCCGACCCCCCCTCGGGGGAAATCACGAGGAGGGCGGACACCTCACCCTCGGGCCCGACGTCCCCGAAGGTGCCAGGCCACGTGGGCGATTGCGTCTGCCTCAAGCCTCTGGTCATGATACTCCCGGTCCCATATCACCGACACCATCATTTCAAACTTTAAACCTGCTAATTCGTCAATTAAATCTAACTCTTCATCGGATGATTCATATTCTTCGTTGATGGTTTCAACTTCGTCTGTTTCTATGATAGAATATATTGACTCGTCATCTTTTATTTCATCATCACATACTAATATGTTTTCATTTACGCTATCTATAATTAGAACCCTCTCTTGTTCTTCATATTTACTAGAATATCTCTTTTGATCTTTATTTGGGCATGTTCTACTTAAATGATCTGGCGAGTTGCATATAAAATATCTGCATGTTTTATCATAGGTTTTCTTTGGATTATATCTTCTTACATTTCTTTTATGTAAGAAGGGTGCTCTATTATCTGATCTTCTTAAGAAATACCTTTTCTTTGTTCTAATATTATTGTTGTTTCTATTTTGATGTTTATAAATCCTTTTACTTCTAGGCTTGTCTTCTCCATATGACAAGGGTATTTGAACTATTTTATTGCAGAAATTGTAATCCGAGTGTTTCATAGATCTTTGGGCTTGGATACCCGTGCATATTTTTCTTAGTTGCTTAAACACAAAAGTTATGGCTTGAGAGATGTTGATTTCAGCTCCTTCAGTTTCCTTTTTATATTCTTCAAATATCATACTTCCTAGTGGGTCAGGTAATTTATTGAAATAACGTTCAACTATACCCCTGTTATATCCTTGTTTAGCAGTTGTAGCATTATATAAATAATGTTGGGAGAATTCTTTTATGCCTTTCCAACTTGTTAACGTTAATTTTTCTATTTCTTTTAACCTTTCATTTTGCAAAGTTGTATAACCTAATTCCGGATCTTCAGCTATAATAATGTTAGATATAACATTTGCAAAATTATGCGGATTGCTACCAGCTCTTTTCAATTCTTCATAATTATTAGGATTCTTTTCAACCCATTGTTCCCATAGAACCTTAGCAGATTCACCTAAGAATGTTTCTAAGTAGGTTATCATATCTTCAACTTTACTTCCTATATTGTGCTGGTTTTGTATATATTTTTGAACTATTAAACCTTTCCAAATACTAATAATATTAGGCCAATCAATAGGGTCATGTGCGGCTAAATTTAATATAGCACCATCACTCCTCTGGTTTTGAAATTTAACAGGCTTCTCAAAGTCTCTTCTCTTTGTACCCATATGCCTATATTGACCTGGTATATAGTTATATGAAAATTCTTCTCTATCAGGGGGCCATTTTCCTGCTGCCCTAGCTGGTCTTTCTCTTTCTCCTTCGTTTTCACAGTACCTTCTCCATATCTTTTTCTCTTTCCTGTTCCTAAGTCCACTTCCATAGCTTCCATTGCATTATCAAGATTATGTAACCCTACTTCATCTAATGTGTTTATAAAATCATTATATTGTTCTGCATTGTCTATTTCATTTTTTATGTTCTCCATCTCATTTATTAGATTAATTTCTTCTTCATAACTTTCAAGAAATAATCTTTCATTCTCTGCCCATTGCTCTTCTTCACTTAAAATTTTACCAAGATTTTGCTCTTCTTTGCCATGCTTATCTTGCTCTTTCCTCTTTATCTGTTCTATCTTGGTTTGTTGGTTTTTAAAAATTTCTACTGCCATATCTTCGTTCTTCTTTACTTTCTTTACTCTAGCTAATTCTCTATAGAAATAAAGTTCTTTATCTCTTATTTTAGGCCACTCACACTTCATAGAGTTATTATATTCTTCATTTATTTCCTTTAATTTATTTTCGTAATATTTTATCTCACTTTCTTGATCTAATTTTTCCATAAACTCTGAAACACTATGTCTTCTATTATCTATTATATTTCTATCAGATGCTTCTGTTTCTAAGTCATCTGTGGTTTTGGGTTTGTAATTTATAAATCTAATGCTGGTATTTCCTTTACTATTTTGATAACTTATATAATTTTCAGGCTGACTCAAAGTTTTACTTTCAATTAAATCACTAATTTTCCATTCTTCTCCTGCCCTTTCTTCAGAACTTATTTTTAAAGGGCTCATGAAAGTTATTCCCTTAGAGTGCATATTTTCAATCACGTCATTTACATTTATTTTGTATTTGGAGGCACTTCTATTAGTTAATCTTCCTATAAATTCTATGCTTACTAGCAAATTTGTTCCTTTAAATTCCTCGTATCCCTTTGTTTGAAAACCAAAACTCATTTTATCTATAAATTCTTTTATAGGCATCATTAGATCTGGGGCTATATATGTTATCAACATATTCTCATTCATGTCACCTTCTAAAAATCCTAATGCTGCTTTATCTATTGTGTCCCACCTTTTATCTAACAGAGTTATTAAAACTTTAGCTCCTAATTTCTTTCTTGTCATACCTTTGATTCCTATTATATACATACCTTGGTGAATATATTTATACCCTGAATACTTTAATCCATTTTCAAATTCCTTGGCTATAATTTTTAACTCAACTGGCTTTGTTAAAACGCTTAACTCTACTTCTCTAGATATTCTGTATAACCCATTTTTATTCTCAAAAAATCCCATGCAATATATTTGTTGAGGTCTTATTGCCCTCAGAGTATCTTTTTGATATCTTTCGAGCTGTTTGTCTACTTCTGCAATATCTTCAAGCTCATCTATGTCTTCATTTTTACCTTTTTGTTTATCAATACAACTTAAAGATTTATCGTCTCTGCTTGCTATTCTTCTAAACAAACTCCTAGATAGGTCCATTTTTCTGAATTAATAGCTTGAGACGAGGTAATTATGCCTGTTGAAGCCAAAACTATCTCTTTTCCTTTACTAGAATATATTATTTCTAATAATTCTTTGATATAGTCACTGTTTTGTAATATCTTATTCTGCCTTGTCTTATATTCCTCTAGCTCTTTTAGCACTGAATTTAATTTATTACTGACAAGCAAATATTGTTCTTCAGATTGCTTTCGTTCTTTAAACAAATCTTCAATCCTTCGCTCTAAATCTTCCTGCTTTTTATCCCAATTTATATAAAAATTATATATCAGATCAACAATTAAATTTAATTGACTATTGTTAGAGTGCCAACTATGGTCTTCAATGTGATTTAGCCTACACCTTATATTCAGATTATCTTTGGTAGTAATTACCTTTCCAATATTAGCTTCTGAATTTGATTTCTCTATGATGACTGGCTCTGATACCACACTTATGCTCCTTATACCTCAGACAATATTTCAAGAATCTGTTACTGTTCAAAACTACTATTTATTCGGCTGATTACTATTCAGTTTACTGTTTATTCGGCTGATTACTATTCAGTTTACTGTTCAAATTACTGTTCAGTACTGTTCACTTCGAGAGATATTTTAACTTTAGGATCTTTGCAGGGTGGCGAATCCTATTTAGACAGCCTCAGAAGCTTGCTTCAGATGATGTAAAGTCCTACTCGGTACTCACCGTATGCCTCACCTATCTATCTTTTTAAGTTGCTTCTAAAAGGACAGATAGGTGAGGCATACGGTGAGTACCGAGTAGGACTTTACATCATCTGAAGCAAGCTTCTGAGGCTGTCTAAATAGGATTCGCCACCCTGCAAAGATCCTAAAGTTAAAATATCTCTCGAAGTGAACAGTATCTCATCATATCTTCCAAAATCTATGGAATTGCCAGGTAAGACATCATGGGAAGATAGATATTTATTAAAAGCTACTAAAGATTTTGAATATATATGCAGGGAAATGGCTTCACAGAAGTCTGAATGGCTCACAGATATGAGTTCATGGAGACTGCCCCAACTGCCCAGAGGCCATGGAGAACGATTTAATCACAATTTCAGAATAACAGAGCTACAACAAGGGTTATTAAACCTCTTGTGGCAAACAAAAAAACAAAAAAGAAAAAACTCATGCCTTAAATGGCCTGGCATATATATATATATATATATAATGTCATTTTGTCATTATCCACATTATCATCAACTCCACAAACATTGAGAGAAAATCAAGACATTGCAACAATACATGAACACACAAACATAATCAAGACGCTTCCACTAACATTTGTGAGGTGTGAAGGATGGATTTGATACACGGTCATCATAATAATTACTTCCTCCATTTCATATTATAAAACTTTGTAACATTATCCATATTCATATATATATTAATGAATCTTTTTTTAGATAATATATGTTAATAAATATAGACACACACATATATATATATACATATATATATATATACATATATATATATATTATATATATATATATATAATATATATATATATATGTATGTGTGTGTTTAGATTTATTAACATCTATATAAATGTGAGCAATACTAAAAATTCTTATAACCTGAAACGTAGGAAATAATAATTAAGGTGCCAAAGTCTAGGTTTTCTTTCTATCGCTATATATATATATGTACGTAGTAGTATACTATATATAGGATCATATCGATCGGTCGCCGGCCGGCGGCGTGCGTCTAGCTGCTGGAGCGGAGGCCGGCGGCGACGGCGATGGCGATGCAGTTGCTGGCGAGCTTGGCGAGCTCGGCGTCCTGCTTGGACATGAGCGGCGGGATGTCGCCGTCGCGTTCCTCGAAGCCCTGGTCGCAGGTGTCGACGTCGGTGCGGGCCGTGTCGAGCATGGTGCCCGTCGTGTCCTTGTCGCCGGCGGCCATGGCCTTGTCGGCCTCGTCGAGGCTGTACGCGATGTCGTCGTACGAGTCCATGCAGTCCCGGAGCACCGGCTTCGCCAGCGCCGGCGTCCTCGCGTCCGCGGCGAGCGCCCCCGCCGCCTTCTTCGCCGCCGCCGCCTTGGCGCGCACCGCGCCCATCGCCAGCCGCAGCACCGCCGTGGCGTCCAGCTTCGCCGCCGCCCCCGCCGCCGGCGGCGGCACCACCGTCATCTGGCACACCACCGGGTAGTCCGTCTTCGCGCACAGCGCCTTCACGAGGTCGCCGCCGGGGCCGGGAAGGATCGGCTTCGCCTTCGGCGGCGGCGTCGTCGGCGGCGCGGGCGTCAGCTTCTTCGGCGGCGCCGGTGACATCCCGGGCTTCCCCGGCGCCGCCTTCCCGTTGCGCGGAACGCAGACGGCGCCCGCCGGCGGCGGCGCCACGGCGGTGAAAACGACGGCGGCGAGGAGGACGCAGGCGACAAGCGGCGGCGACGACGCCATGGCGACGAGATGGAGGTTGCAAAATTGCAGTGGTTGTGATTAACTGTTACTAATAATAATTTGATGGATTTTTTTGTATTTATTTGAATATGGAGGGAAAGGAGGAGATTAGTTGGCTTTGGCTGCATTTTTTTTCCCGGGAAAAGTGGGGGCAATGGTGGCCAGTGGTAAGTAACTGCTATTTTTGGATAAAAATAGTAAAAGTGGTGATTAGGCGCCTAACTTTGCCATTTTGGTTGTATCATTGGCATGAATGAGAAGATTAAGAGGATTATTGCAGAGGAAGATGAAGGGGAAGGGATTGGATATATTGGATCTATATGATCTTGGTGATTAATTGCTCTTGATGAATGTAGGAGGGAATTGAAGTAGTGGAGATCAATTGTAGTAATGGAATGCTAAAAATGCAAACTAGAAAGACAGAAAAAGGCATAGCATGCTTAACTAGTGGCCTAGGTAGATTGAACATTGGCCGTAGAAAGATAGCCTTGTTCTCTTTTTTTTTTCTGTTTTTTTTTTTTTTTTTTTGAAATCAAAGAGAGATAGCCTTGTGAAGATATACACATATCTTTAGGGTGAGGTCCAAATAAATACATAGCCAATTAATAACATCAAAGGAATTATGTTGGTAGTACATACTAGTATAGGATAAGATGAGTAGTTAACACTATATTCTACATCTATATACTAACATAGGAATTAGTGTCAATTATGCCCATTCAAATGACCAGAACTAAATAGACCCACCAAAATCAAATAATCACGTATACTCCTCTACTCACAATTTCTCTCAAGCTGCATTAAATACCCTCCTAACACCATCCCAATTAATTACTCACCCCGTTTCAAAATATAAGGAATTTTGGGTGGATGTAACACTTTCTAGGACAGGAAGTGTCACATCCACCCAAAATTTCTTATATTTTGGGACGCGATGGAGTAGCTTCCTAGCTGAAATTATTATCTTCATCAAGATGATATGGGTAAGTGATGTAGATTATCATTGATCCGTAGAATTGGGAAGATCACAATAACAAGGGAAAAGAGTAAATGGTCATTCAAGAAGGCTCACATCCTCATTTTTTCACTTATGTTTATACTTATAAGCCAAAATTTTTATTTTTAGCTTTAAATTTAGAGTTGATTTCGGGGTTTTCATCAAAGTTTATTTTTATGCATTTGTGTTTAGATCACTAAGAACATGTATGAAAGTTTTATTCACAAACTATTTTTTTGTTTGCAACTATGTCGTTTGGTTTATTCCATGGATAAGCCAATAAGCCAAACGATGGGAGCGTCAAAATCCTGAGTAAAATATAAAATGGGCAAGAGACTAAACCCAATATTTAAAACGAAAAATAAGCTTATAGAAAATAATAAAATAATATTTGAAGTGGTCGATATTTAAGAACTGTGAACGAGTGGACTCACTGGCCAAAGACCAATCACTTCAGTTGAGCCTAGCCAAAGAAGATGGACACATAAGGAATTTGAATTCAAGGATATTTGGATCAATATCGTGGTAAATTCAGAAAAAACCAGCAAATTACACGGAATCCACGGCAAATTTGAAAGGAACTTGAATTCGCGCGCTTGGTAAATGGCAGCCAAGCACCACGGCGGCGTCGGCGCCACGGCGGCCAGCCGCGCCAGGAGCGCCCTGCCGCCGCCCGCCGGCCTCGGCGGCGGCGCCACCACCTGCAGCCTGTACGACGCGCACGTGTTCCACAGGCTCACGCACGCCCACGCGCCGTCGCCGCCGTCGCCGCCGCCGCCGCCGGCGAAGCGCGCCATCCACGTGCCTAGGCTGGGCGCCGCGCCCAGGACGGCGTCCACGTCGGACGGGCACAGCGGCTCGCCGCCGAACCGCCGCTTGTACAGCATCGCCGCCTGCTCGACGGCAAGCCTCTCGATCCTCACGTCGCTCCTGGACGAGGCCGCCGCCGGCGGCGGCCTGACGTCGGCGAGGGGCTGGACGAGGATGGACAGGCGTGCCGCCGTCGCGTAGCCGCGCCGCCCGACGAAGAGCCCCCGCGACGCGGCGTTCGCGGCGTCGGCCGCCGCGACGACGTGGCGCGCGCCGTGGCGCGCCGCCCACGCCTCGACGGACTCGACCAGCTTCAAGCCGATGCCCTTCCGCCTGTGCACCGGAGACACCCGGAGGCCGAGGACGTAGCCGGCGAGCACGGTGTCGCCGTCGACGACGCCGGTGGCGACGCGCTTGACGCAGCCTCGCGCCACGCCGACGAGCTCCCCTCCTCCCCCTGTGAGCTCAGCTACCTACTTATGGAAGGGCCAGAATTTATAATGAAAATTTCAGACAAATTTGAATAAATGTTCACTAATTTTTGTACAGATTTGAATGTTTTAGCCTAGAGAACTAGAGAATTAATTGCTACAAGTTATGAACACGCATGCATATGAATTCATATGAGCCTATTAGCTTCTAAGCATGGTCAAACCTAGTTGGAATCCCTAATTAAGATCAAAGACTCACTTGATTGAAAGTATCTCTATTCTCAAATAGATTTTTTAAAAAAAAACTCAAATATATAACGTCCTAAAATGAATAGAGTCAAACCTCGATATATTAAATCATCGATACAATAAAAATGTTATGATTTAATATTTACAAATGGGACTTTATCATGAGAAATCCTTTCATGTAACTATATTTTTATTAATTTATGTAAACATATTATCAGAAATGTAACGGTCGGACACTTGCGACATTGAAGACTATGTCAAAGTTTAAAAAAGTCAAGTAGAAAAGAACAGAGATGGTAGCATGTAAGTCTGAACCTAATTCATATGACTAGCCTTTGCAAGATTGGCTATATACTTAGGGTAACTGTGCAATTAGCAAGTAGCCAGTGAGGTGAAACAAACATTCCATTTCCATATTTGGGGGCATGTAAAGCCTAAAGTGAAAAGGTAACTCCTAGCTTATGAAGACCACTCTTTAGGGCAGTTATAGAATTGTAGACAAGAGGTATCATATCATAGCTAGCTTATGATCATGTCAAGCTTATGATGTCAAAGATCTAGCTTTAGCTAGCTAGGTACATGAAGCAAACACACAAAAATCACATTGTTAACCCATGTCTATATATATATATATGGTCTAGAAACATACCATCATGACATGGAGCTGGAAGAGCCTGATCCTGCACAAGGGATCACCCATCATGTTGGTGACAATGGAGAAACCCTTCCCCGCGCCGATTTCGCAGCTCCTCTCGAGCTTTTCGATGGCCTCCATGTCGCGTTCCCGGTCATACTCCCTTATCGAGACCTCGCTCTTCGCCATGGCGATGGCGGTGGTGCTGTCATTGAGATTGAGAGCCATGTTCTTGTTTTTCTTGCTGATGCTGCCCTTGCTTGGTCTTGTGGCACATGGATGGCTTGTCATCTGTGGTCCTTTTTTCAATTGTAGTTTCAAATGCTTGATGTTTGCTTGAGGCTGCTCACATGCACCTCCTTTGCTTCTTATAGAGATCACATCAACAAGAACTAATCAGCAACTTTTGCTAATAGTGATGATGTTAATGACACAAGAACTAGATTGTTTTCTGATTAAACTTGCAACCTTGCTAATATATCTATGTCAATTGTCAGAGTGTCTTTATAGTAATATCACAGCAAGTAATACAGAATCTTAGTTATGTTCTGGACTAGTAGAGCCATCAGGCTTTTGCATTGTACAATTTATAACAAAGTCAAACTGCAACTTATTGCAGAAAGAAAGTTATTCCTTTAATTTCTCTAGAACAAAATTATTGGAATGAAATACTTCATCCAAATCTTTTGCTCATATTAGAGTGGCATCTACACACATACCTCAGAGTCAGAATGCATAAATACAATTTTGTATTGAACAAATAAAAAAATCGGTGATTTCTTTATCATCGGAAATTCTCGGATTTCTTGAAAAAAAAATCAGAAATCTTTTCATCGGAATGTACTTGATAGCAGAGTTTGCATGACACTAATCAATTTAGTCTTACTTCTAGAAGCGAATCATTTGTACATTGTTACTTCCGTCCCAAAATATAAGGGATCCTAGCCGGAGGTGGTATATAAGAAGTTTCAATCTTACTTGCAGCATTCAAACAAGTTTCCATATTTTGGATGTTGGATGAAGCATGCTCATCATCCTTCATAAGAGTTGTGAAGTTAAGCAAGGTTTACATAAAAGTTTCGCTTTCGCAGCTTGGTCAAACACAGTCAAAGAACCCAAGGTACAGAGCACTATGCTGTGTATCCTCCTTTGGGCAGCAAAAGTTTGTGATTTGAGGTGTCTACACCATGAATGATCTGATGCAGTGGGCTATTACCATGTCCCATCAGTCGGCTTCAGTTTCAGGAATGGGGCTCCTTTTGACGGCCCACGATCATGAACCCCAGCAATTGGCCTGGATTCAACTGTAAATTCAATTTTTCAGCAGAATTTGTTGCATGCGGGAATGTCATTTTGATCAGTTAATTGATTGGTATTGATGCAAATTGTCTGATAAGAAACTGTACTTGCAGGTTAATGTGTCAGACTAATCAGCCTGTCAATGTCTTCTGCAGCTAAGACTTTTTTTTGTTTGGGAGGACAGCTAAGACTTAATTGAATGCTTTCAATTATTTCTGCACAATGAAGCATCAGAAGTAAACAAAGACCATATAAAAGTAAACTAGCTAAGTATCCAGATCAGTAATTGTACTCTGCATATTGTTTTGTCTGGCTACTGTTTCCTGACAATGTTTCTTGCCACCATGAGTCAGATTCACAGTGTCAAGATTTGGTTGATTTGATTTACTTGTGAGTACTGAGCAGTATGCGATGTTTCACATGGTTCTATTTTATCCATTAGTTTTATTGCATCTAAACTTTATGCATTTCTTTTTTGAAAGAAATAAACTTAATTGTATAGATATTGAAAGCCTTAACCCGAGCTTGTGCTTAGTTTCTTCACTGGCACATGTATTCTATTTCTGTCCAATTTTGACAAACATCCTATTTCAATGGAAGAACTTATCTATGCCAGAATGATAACAAAATATGCTCTTTCTTTTCTGTGAAGAACAAAATATGTTCTTTCAAAACTCTATGGTAGTCAGGGAAGTATTTCTGATACTTACCGACAAGTTCAGTTCTGCATTTCTGCAGCTTATGAAGTTACTAAATGTTACCACTGAAAAGTACTGATTTTGATGTTTACCACATTCATCAAACATCACATACTGGTTAGATGAATTTGAAAAAGGTGGAGCAGTGTAAAATCCAGGTAAGTCCTTCTCCCATGAGGGCTCACAGTTATGCATGTGATGTGAAGCTGTCCTGCCTTACTTTGCAGTCATATTCTGAAAGTTTTGCGAAAAAAAAAAACTGACGAAAAGCAGCCAAGCAGGACTACATTCTTTGAATGGGACCAATGGATTGACCAGATGACACAACCCTTAGTAATCTTTTTGTCACTGCAAAGTGTTAATCATGTTAGAGAAAAATAAGTATTCCAAGGAGGAACTTGGCATCAAATTAATAGGGAAGAAATAGGTGCCAAAGTTAAGCCGGAGGATTTGAACTAGCTAGACTCAGTTCCCACAAATCATGTTCAGGTAAATCATTGTGCTTAAACATTCTTGATTTGTCAGGATTTGGCGATTTGTCGTACCAAATTTGTCCAATTAACCATTTACAGCAAAGGAGAAAACCATCACCAGGGGTTCAATTTTTAGCCTAATAAGATTGTTTCTGAACCTTCACCATTGAGGACTTGAGGTTAAGTTTTGAAGAAGATAATGGACAAAACGATTCTGACCTGGAGCACAGAAAATCAAGAACAGATTCTTCTTTTCTTTAAGAATCAGTGGATAATTTGAACCGGAAATGTTCTTTCTGTTTTGAATTCTGAAACAATGAAGATCTATCATAAGCTAGTGATTCCTGATAATCTGAAAGTACTATCATAAGGAGTAGGTTATAACAGAAACAAAGAATTAACTATCACAAAATTACCTTACCTGCCAAAATGTTGTGCCAAGTTTGTTGCCTCCAATGAAGATTGTGTTTTCCAAAGAAATTTGATGTTAACTTAAAATGATTGATTCCACAGTTAAATTCTTTGCATGGCTAGCAGTTCAGACAAGTTGTTGAACAGCAGACCTATGCTGCAGCGCCGCAATTTGTGCTGTTCAAATAATGAAGAAACAGCACCATTTTTTGTCGGTTGCTATTTGGCGCAGCAGCTTTGGAGCTAAACTTTTTCATAAATTGTTTTTCTTCTCTTCAATGAAATGACCCGCAAGGCTTTTGCGTGTTCCCCGAATATGAAAAAGAATAACTGCAAAAGGCTTCTACAGCGGCAAATCGATGGAAACACTTCTCATCAAGAATTTTAGCCTGCATGATATGAGAACATTCACTGGGCAATGGCAGAGAAATACTCTGTCATAGACGATTTACAAGAACAGTACATCAATCTAAATTCCTATTTCAACAGTGAATTCCAAAGTGATTGAATTGATGTTCAACTAATTATCGCTTCCACCACGCTTAGTTCTTCTACTGCTCGGCATGCAAGAAGCATCAATTTCAACAGGATATCCAGTCCATGGTTGCAAGCGGCAAACCAATCAAAAACACATGCATCAATCAGGAATCCTTGTCTTGGGATTTGAAAATTCTGAGTAACAAATGATTCTATTATGCAAGACATACCCATCACTCATTGACAAGAGTGATTAGTTGTCTAACACTAAATAAGCCCTAGTTCCTAGCATATTTTGTATGCAATGTTTCAGGATAATTGAAATGGTAAGGTTGTATCAGAATTGAACAGTTGTGATACTAATTTTCTGTACAATGTGCCAGAAATAAGTTCTTAGGCACCTGTAACTACATATCTTGGCTCTAGAGAAGTTTTGTATTTCTAATTTAGTACTGTAAATTTGTAATGCTTTCTTCAACTGCAGCCGCATTTTCTCACTATGTGTGATGTGATGGTACAGCTGGTGAGTGGTGATCAGTACTGTTCATTTCTTCTGGTCAAGCAGTCATCCAATGTCATGTATCACCACAGTTTGGCTGTCAAAGATGAATGTCCAAGGACCAAGGTCCCCCCTACACAACATGATGTGAGATTGCCCCATTGCAATCACTCTAACATGAGAAACTTTTAATCAAATTGGCACTACTGGCCTGCCCTAGTAGATAATTTCTTTTAGTGTTTCTATTCTATCTTTGCCATTAACCTTAACAGCCCATTGTTCAAGAACATGTCCCTCCCTTCATACTTGTCTGGGTTTTGATCACATTCTATGTTCACAATACTTTCCAATTTTTGTTTCATGAGATGTTATTTTATTTTCCTTTGCCCTTCCTCCATGAGTCCATGTTAATATGTTATAGAGATGGAAACTTGTAGAGCACCATTGATGTCTGATGGTGACCCACGGGTAACTGTCGGCCTACTTTAGTTCAATCAAATAAACTAAATTTTATTTTGAATCCCTCAAAACTGAAAATCGGTTCATTCAGTTGAACTAAAATGGGCCCACCATTGTCCGCGGTCCGACCTGGACACAATCAACAAATCTCTAGAATGTCCAGTAAAAAATGTAGCTTGCACAAATATTGAGAGAATCACAAGGGCAGTTTCGTCATATCAGGTAAAAAGCCTTGGCATTTGTGCCAGGATCAATATTTTATGTCATGATAATCCAAATTTATTTTCTAATCCACTTGTTCAATGACAAGAGACATTCTTGGTTTCATTTTGTTATCGACCTTTTGTAATTCGTTTGGGCCTAGCTGTCTACCTTTGTTGGGATTAGGGAATATGATGTAACTTTGATGGATGAGTGCTCATTACTTATGCTCACAAGTTAAAATTGCCGGTTTAGAATAATATGTTTGAATAGGTTACTGTCATTTTTTTCATATGCAAATATGATATATTAGCACTTTTTTACAAGTCCTGAAGTGGAGAAAAACATCAGTAAAGGTACTGAGCAGTTAGTTTGGGGACACATCTGATGTTCTTATGCTCATCTGCTGTTAAAAGTCTCAATTTTATGTTTTGAATGACCAGCTGATCCAGAAAGCTCCATATTGGCAGTACTTCAATTGATTAAGAGCAAAAGTGCTACTAAAGTGTATTAAAAAAATAGGTGTAATCAAATGGAAGGAATGTTGTGATTGGTTAAAAAGGTAATGTAGGTGAAATTGTTGTATTTTGAGATAAATTTTGAATGCTAGAAGTTGCTATATTTTGGAACCGATGGAGTAGTCAATTTTAGTTCATCATGATATGCTGATGCATGTTTCCAGTATCACACACGCATAGAGAAAAATGGTATTTGATTTTGTTATTGCAACTGATTGTTATAGGGCTCTACATCAGCTACAAGGCTACAAGAAAC